TGAAAATGTTATAACGGCATTAATTGTAGGTTTTGCTTTAAAATTTGTTGTGGAAAGAAAAAATTTGTAGCTCTCGGTTTTTAAGAAAAAATGGTATGTAGTGCTAACTTGACACCATACACCTAGTCGATAGAATTGAGATATCCAGTATGTTACTATGCCATTAATTGTAGCTTTTAACTTTAAAATTTGTTGTGGAAAGAAAAAATTTGTAGCTTTCGTTTTTCTGGAAAAAATTGAGTTGACCCTTTTTCGAACAAAATTTAGTATGTAGTGCTAACTTGACACCACAACAAATTTACAACAAAAACACTACAATTAATGCCGTAGTTAACTTTTCCAATTTCGAAAAGTGTAGTGCTAACTTGACACACGTGACTTGCCGCCACTGATCATTGCCTTAAAATATTTCATCACATTTCGTACTTTTTTTTTTACTTATGAATTACTTTCATTCTCTATTACTCGCTTGCACAGCTGCGAACTTCATCGAAGCGCATCCGATCCGAGCAAGAGCAAGAATTGAAAATCTTCCGTGAAAATTTGAAACAAGAAATTCGTCTGTTGAAACAAGAAGTAGATTTGCTGCCCAAAGATAAACGCAAAGACGAATTCAAACAACGACGTTCCGCCATGGAACTGGATCATGAAGAGAAGGAGCGGGCTTTCCTAGATTCGCTCAAAGAACGCCATGAATTGCTTCTGCGACGATTAAGCGAAAAACATCGCGATCATCTTGCCACAATTAATCGTAATTTCCTGCAGCAAAAACAAAATGCCATGCGTACACGCGAAGCACTACTGTGGGAGCTGGAAGAGAAGCAATTGCATGAACGTCATCAGCTAGCCAAACGGCATGTAAAAGAATTATGCTTTATGCAACGCCATCAGATGATTGTGCGACACGAAAAGGAATTGGATCAGGTGAAGAAAATGTTGCAACGCAAGGAGGAGGATATGATTAAAAAGCAAGCTTTAGAGAAGCGAGCGTTGCCGAAGCGAATTCGCGCAGAGCGCAAGGCACGCGATTTAATGTTCCGCGAATCTTTGCGTATATCAACAAATTTGGATCCGGAAGTCGAAAGGGAACGACTTAAGAAGGTAAGTTGGCAGGCCTAATAGAATTATGCGATGTAAAATGTAAATTTTATATTTGCAGTTTCAAGAGCAAGAAAAGAAACGTTATACGCAAGAGGAGCGACGATTCGAAATCAAACATCAAAAACAGTTGGAGGAATTGCGTGCAACGCGTGAGGGGGCGATAAGGTAAGCTAAAAGACTACAAAACCATTGAACTACTCCTTCTTATATTACAAAAGGGAAGGTATTATTCATATATAGCAGTGTCGGCCACACTCACATTATCACATATTGCGAAGTGTGTGTTGCAGCACAGTTTTGCTTAACAGCAATAGCTTTGATTAGTTTATAGTATACGTCTGATAGCAGCGACGTTGCCAGACACCTATTTATGCGTGAATAGGAAAGCTAAAAATGCCCGACACTGATATAGAGCAAAGACTAACCCCAACAACTGTTCGTTTCTTGACGTATAAATAATAAGGACAAGCAATATTTTTCAAGAGACAATAACAAATCTTTATCTCTTGATCTTCTTTTTTTTTCTCCCTACAGAGAATTAGAACAGTTGCAGAATGAGAAACGCAAAGCTCTGGTCGAACACGAACATGCCAAATTGACAGATATCGACGAGCGTTTAAAGGCAGAGTTGCGTGAATGGAAGGAGCAATTAGTACCTAGAAAGCAGGTAAATAGTCGTTCAAATTGAATGTAAATAGTTTTATTATGATAACACCGTAGTTGTTTTTATTTTGTTCCCTTTGGGTTTCTATGCAAAGACAATATTCATTGAGCTGAGCGCAAATTTCGTAGCTAAGCATTCATGCATTACCAAGTACAAAAAATTATTCAACTTTTATGTATGTATGTGTAATTGATTTTTGGTATTCTTAATTGATTTACACTGTCAACTTTTAGTTTTTTTTTTTTGTATAATACACTTGCATACAAAAATATATGGATATCTTAAACACCTTTATTCGTATCACAGTGAGGCTTTGCAACGAATGCGCTACGAAACTTTTGTTAAGTTGTTTGCTTGTTCTCCCCCTCCCCCCTTATTTTGTAACACAAGCTTGTAATAATCAGCGTAATGTTTGCTAATTTTCATTTCGTTTATTTTAACTTTTCATTTGTTTTGATATCCCCTTGCTTTGCGCTCAACTCAATGCTGTCTTCGGTGTTTTATATTCGGTGGCGTTGTCTGGCTTACTTATATTTTCAATACTATTCTTGCTATTCGTTTTCCTTTGAATTATATTGTTATTATTTTAAGTTACGCCAACCTTGCCAAGCTTTACGAAAGTTTACCTAAATACTGTTAAGGTCAAAACCTTGCAATTGAAGACTTATCTCTTTTGTATCCTCTTCTCTTTTAACCGCTACATTTATATGGCTTGACTTTTGGATATAATTAATGGTATTGAATTTAATCCAACCAATTTATACTACTAATCATTATATGCTGAAATTGCATGCATTCCTGCCAAATGCCAAAAAAAAACTTTTAACTATTTCGCAACAAAACTTATTGGGAATGGTAACTACGCTGTTTACGCTTTGCCTCTGGTTCTGGCTCTGCTTTAACTTTGAGACCTACTTTAGAAGCTAATCGATACTCTTAACGAAATGTCCGAGCGTTTTGAGAAAAAGTACGGTCCAATACCCGATCGTGTGCCATTTACTCACAAAGATATTGAGGTGCCACTGCAACTGCGTGGATTTTTCAATGATGCACCACGCTCTCTGCCGCGTGGTCTTTTCCTTAGTGAAAATCAGATGCTGCGTTCGCGCACCTATTTCTCATTATCATCAGATCCGCGTGCCAAATTCCACGGTTCCACGCCCGATTTGAGTCGCAGTGTACCCAATACGCCCATATTTCGAAAATTTGGTAAACTGAAAGAGCGTAGTGATAGTTTAGCGCTGGACAGCACAACACCCAGACTGCGTGATGAACGTTTTACGGATGAAATCGTTGAGTTGCGACAGGCACATGGAGTGCTAACGCCACGTTTCGCCTCCGTCGCCGCAGTAGCAGCAGCAGCAGCATCAGCAGCACCATCAGCAACGCCAACACCACCATCAGCCGTCGCCGCCGCCAAGGATGGTGTGTCGTCAAGTGATGCCGGCCAAGTGAGCACAATTCATATACAAACTCCCACACTGGGCGCCAATCGGCAAGCGAACTCGGAGAGACCAGTGCTTTCCACATTCCGCAGCACAATGCCACCGTCGTCAAGGCACACTGACTCAACAGTTACATATGCCACACCATTTGCTGATATTGTAAGCAATCGTTTTAATAGAAGAGACAATTTAAAAACTGATGAGCCAACAACTACAACAACTGCTATAACCAATAAACCAGAGTTGCGTCAGCAAACGCAAAACCTATTATATTCCTCATCGTTTGCTATCAAGCGGCCCTCCCTCTACGGTACGGGTCGCTCCTCGTTAGGCAGTACGCAATCGCTCTATGACATTTATGAGGGCACAGTACGCTTGAGCACTGAACGCGCTGAGCCTGATTTTCGTTTGCCAGCCAAAAAAGCGACCGCTCTACTTGACAGTATTGAACCTTCCTTGCGCGCCTCCATCAAATTGGGCAGTGTGCAGGAGGTAAATAGTTTGGATGTGGAAGAGGTAAAATATACCATACCACGGATTGGTATAGCAGATAAAAAATCTAAGAGAAGTGCACCAAGTAGTCCTTTAGAAGAGGACTCACTGGCTTAGAGGGGTGCGCGTGTAGAAAAAATAATACTTAAAATTAAAATGATTCTAAACACAAATAAAACCAAAACACTGAAAATATTGAAACAGGAAGCAAAAAATCTCATTGCTATTTAATGAGAAAATGTAAAAAAATTTGTTGGTTTGCAAATTTACATATTATACTAACTTCCAACTGCATATCTACTTTTATATATACATATAACTACCATAATCATATGATGCCGCATTTCCACCAGGCATTAAATGGACAAAAAATGTGTGTCATTTAAAAAATCACTTGTGGAAATGCTAAGCGCATTAGCTACTTTTATTAACGTAATCACAGGGATATTTTTTAATGTCCAGCTTTTCATTAAACATTTTATCCAAGTGGAAATGAGGCATAAGTGTCTGTGTTTGCGCTCACATTCCACATTTGTTTGTTTATATTGACCAGCATCTCATGGCACATAATCAGCACATGGCATCTAAGTGTAAATACATACATATGTGGGTTTGTGTGTGTGAATTTATAAGAATTTCTTAAATTTGGCACCATTTAAAAAACAGAAATTGCAAAAAATAAGGACAAAGTTAAACGCGATGTTCTAACTCTACTGCCCAGAGAGAGTTTTTACGGCTATGATAGATGAAAGTAGATAACTACATATATCCTTTTTCCATTACACATTTCAAGCAAATTATTTAAAAAAAAATCTGCCTGATTCAGCATTAGACATTCTTCCCACTTAACAAAACGTACATTCCTAGATGGGACTGATGCTAATGTTAGAAGAAGTATGTATATGAATCGAGAATCATGCTAAAAATATTAGAGACTTGCAGTTTTCAAAATCTGTGGGATTATTGGTATGAAGCTTTTTACTTGGAACAGTTTTGCGCCTAAAAGATGACATACTTTATTAAACGTGCCAAGCTTTCGGACTTAGCCCCGATCGGAGTAGATTTACACTGGTTTTTAAAAATGTTTTAAGTTCAACTGCTCTATTTGACTTAAAATCTGCTCCGCATTCTCTTAACTGCCTAANTTCAACTGCTCTATTTGACTTAAAATCTGCTCCGCATTCTCTTAACTGCCGTGGAAGGATAAAATCTCAATAAAATTTGATATATTGAGTTAAAACACGTAGAAAAATTCAAAGGCCTAAAATCCGCATAATCCTTTATTGTTTAATTTATTGTTATCGAATATGCGATGTGTTTTTTTTTTTTTTACTGAAACTCAAAAAAGAAAAATATTTTAGACAGCTCAGTTAAATTGTGAAGATTTTACGAGTACAACGCCATAGGCAAGCTAGCTAAAGCTTTTAAAAGCTCTCTTTACAATTTATGAATGGATAACAACAAAATAAAAGCTTTCGCTTGCCAACACTGGCTTAGATGGTCTCGAAGCTTTCCTGAATGAATCCTTATTTTAAACGAGAAATATTTCGATCCGAAAAGCTTTCGACTAGTAGAAAACCTGATAGTTTGAAACCATTTATTTATTATAACAACATAAAGAACAAAAAGGAGTCATTGTGTGCCAAACGAGTACTCTGCGGTGGATGAGCCAATAATTTCATGTTCTCGCTGGAGCTGTTGTCTGAGGTACCGCATTGGCTTGGCGCTAATGATTCCTCGTCTTGAGCTATTTCTTATTTGTGTAAAGATTTCTGACAAATAAATGTTTGTTCTGCGTCTTTTTGAAGGTACTGTTGCCACATTACCAATTTTTTTTTGTTTGGTTAGGCTCACATTGAACAGATCACACAGCCGACTGCTGTTTAGATCCATTACTTTTCACGCTTGTGTAGTTTATACATGGCATTTGACGCAACTCGATAGAATTTCTTCATATTTTTTCTGGACCATTTTTTTGAACAACTTACGTGATCTAGGTTAGCTTAAATCTCACATAGACCTTTAGTTGGACCTTAGCTTTAGTTAAATCTTGGTCATAATGCATTCTTTTTGCGAATTTTGGCAATTTGCTAGCACTTTGATCTGCTATTTACTTCAGTGAGTAGCCAAGGTAACTCAGTCGCGATTTTCCGAAAGTTGAACAGACGCTGTAGGAACAAATTTTGTACCGCCAAATTGTCATGCAATATCGGTTGTATGCAATTCAAACCAACAATCCAGGGGCCTATTTCATAAAGCGACAGTAATAATTTTGTAACGACAGGCATTTTCCATGTTGTCAGTGACAATTGGACAGTTTGGTGGGGGTTTTGTTTCATAAAAAAATTGTCACCACCTCTTAAATTCCATGAGAAATTCCTTTGAAAAAGTGACAAATTGTGATTGACGAGGTTTAAAATTGTCATTGACAAAATTTTCGCCAGTCATATAAAATTTATAAAAATATAAATAAATTCAAATTTTTGAAAAGTAATGAAATGCGCGCAATTACCATATAAATAAATTTACAAAACTCTCATGTGAAAGCTTTCCGACGGAGCTATTTGCTTTTGTCGCCATTGTCGCGAAAATTATGTCCGAGTTTGTCAGCACATTTGTCGACAATATTCCATATTATCACTGTCGTTTTCCAAAAATTTTCACAGTTGCCTACAAACGTATATGAAACAGGAAAAATATCGCCGACAATTCTGGCAGTGAAATTTTATAGAAAAATTTACAATTGTCGCACTTGTCACTTTTATGAAATAGGCCCCAGAAAGCTCCAGCAATGACCCAATAGGTAAGTTTAAATACTGGTCTTAGAGAAAACAGTCAAAACTAATTTTCATGCTCACTATAAATGATTTTACAATATTTGTTATGAGTGTATAGCTCACTAACTAGCAAAAACGATGGAACTCCGAATTTCAAACTTTGTCCAAAAATTAGGAAAATACGACAGTTTCATAAAAATTTTAAAACTTTTTAATCAGAATTCGAGGTATGCAGTTTTTTAGCTCATAAAATTTTAGTACCATAAGATGCAGGTACCCAGGACTTACCGTTGATTTTTGGTAATTTTACTACTCTCACTTTGCATTTCATTGCACTTTTTTAACAAAAAGAAAATATATGCATAAAACAAGTGAAACAAAAAATGTATTTGTCATTCAGCATATTGTGAACCGTCCTAGGATATAAAAACACATGCAAGTCTCTAAAATTTTTTCGCCTTGATTGGTTTTTTGCTTTTTTATTTTGAAAATCATAATATTTACAAAGTGATGCATATGAAAATTTTCGTTGCCATACAATCTTGCCAAAGTTTTGCTGCAGCTGCGTTGACATGCATTACGTGCTGCTATTAATAATACAGAATAATACATATATATATGTTTATTATATACACGCATGAAAAAAATAATAATTAAAAAAGCTTAGCTTTAAATTATAAATTTGTAGCAAAAAAATAGCACCTATTTGAACAATAAAAATATATATTAGACATTAATATTAAACTTAAAGTATATTTTCATACTAACACAAATACACGCATACCACAAAAATCCAAAGGCCAAATAATTTACAATTTCTTAGCACCAGTAAAAGTAAAATTAATTGCAAGCAACACGTACAGAGATATGGAGGGAGGGAGTAGAATATGCGCTACTTTATGCATATGTAACATTATTTTTTATAATAACAAAAACAAAAAAAAAAGAAAATAAACTGAGTTCTCCTCAGCAATTACTAAAAAAAAAACAATGGCTTAGCTTTATGTCTTAATAACTGCACTTTATATGCCATAACCCAACAAGTGCATAGTTATACTCTGCCATATGAACGCATGCGCTAATAACTGTACATAAATACTTAATCGACATAATTCAATTATTATTAATTTACGTCTTTCCGCGGGCTTTGTTCGATTCATCTTTCACGCACCAACTCTGTATCACTCTTATACTTTCTCTGTCTAATCCCACTTTTCAATAATAATAATCAATCCTTCTTCGATCGTCTAAAATCGATATCAATCATATATTCATCTTGTCCATTTGTTGTGGCACGTTTATCTTCTTTTTACCATTTGATTTGAATTTCATTTAAATTAGCGGCTGGAGGAGACATTCGCACAGCAATTGGAAGAAATGGAATTGTTGTATGGCGGTGCACTGGTAGTACCCATGCCGTCCGATACTTTACAGCGTGATCACTTTACCGGCTCCACGCGCAGTAGTTTATCATCATATTCGGAGGGATGAGATATATAAAATTAAGTGAAACATAACTAAGAGAAGGAAAAACCAACTGAAAAAAACATTATTTAACTAAATAAATATGCATACGCGTTAAAACTTTAAAGTAATTCAAATGTAGGCGAGCAAAAAAAGAAGAAAAAAAAAACAATAAATACGAAATTTAAGTTAAAAAATAATGCTGATGCTGCACGAATCGAAAATTTAATCAGAAATTATTAAAAAATAGTAAGCAAAAAAATAAAAATAAATAAATGAAACAAGTTTTAAGCAGTTAGTCTGTCGAACAGAATGGCTAAGTAATTTTAAATATACACATACCTACATACATCTATTATATAAATGCATATTTTAGTTTAAAATTTTCTTATATCCTAGCTCTACTTAATATACATACATACGTACAACACATACTATGTATTGTATGCGCAAAGTCAAAACCACGTTACTTTGTCTTTGCTTTGATAAATATTAAATAAATACTACTTACCTACCTACCTACCTACATACATACCTACCTACCAACCTCCCTTTATTATACTACTATTATACATCTTTACTTCCAATAATATTGTAAATATATCTAAGACTTAAAAAAAAAATAAATGATCCATATTGTAACAGATCGTTAGAAATGCATTTTTGAATATTCAAAACAATTATTGTAAGCCTTAATATCGTCGATGCCTTTGCAAACCGCCTATCTTACGGCACTCAAATTTTACAGGAGAGCAAAAAAACTTTTTTTAACTTCAGAGGCGTTATTTTCTCGGAGTTTGCATAAAAACGAAGCAATTGCCTTTTCTTAAAATTTTATACCTTTCACTTAAATTCGTTTGAACAAATTGAGTAAAAGGTCTGAAATTTTATGAAAGGGCGTTTGCTTAGGTTTTATGCATACGGCCCATTATTTTACAAATCTGTTGTTTTAATAACGATTTA